TGATTAATATGCAGAAATTATATTTTGACAATAATGATATTGTACAGAAATGTGTCACAAAAATGCTATTGGACAAAGAGAGAAGGATACAAAGAAAGGGGGGAGAGAAAGAGAGAGAGAGAATTTTTTAATATTTATTTTTTAGTTTTCGGTGGACACAACATCTTTATTTTATTTTTATATGGTGCTGAGTACTGAACCCAGTGCCCTGCACATGCCAGGCGAGCGCGTTACCGCTTGAACCACATCCCCAGCCCAAGCATAATTTAAGAATTAAAATACAACAAAATTAAAGTCAAAATTTATGTCAGGCAATGCTGGTTAATTATCTAACAGTCATTCTCCCCATTTTTCTTTAGATGCAAAGCCTCAGTTATGTTCTTTAGATGCAAAGCTACTGATATGCCCACAGAAGGTATCCACTGATCAGCCCCAGAGGGCAATGGCGTAAAGCCAAGGATGGTAATTCCATATCCCTTGCCCTGGTAGGTTAAAAAATATGTTTATTATCTAATTCTAGCTAATGAGACAAGAAGAGACGTCTTCTGCAGAATGTTTTGTTTCTTTGCCCTAATTTTAAAAAAGAGAGAGAAGTGACCTAATATACATCTTTTCACAGACATTTGTTGAGTGAACCTATTATGAAGCATTTTGCAAAAAGCATCTAGCCAATATCTGAGGATGGAGGAGAGCAAGATATAAAGAGTCAGTGCTTTTGCTAATATTGCCAAATCACTGGATTTAATTCTAGACTTTATCTCTAAAGTTCTTAGGTGGGATAATGAATCTTCCTCATTTGGAAACTCTTTTTAGTTTTGTATTACTTTGCACTGATCATGGCCTAACATATAATCAGCTTTCTCACTACCTTTATAGAGAAAATTACACTCAATATAATGGATAGTCAATGTCAATAATTAATAATCTAAATTATATTTGCTTTATTTTTTGTTTTATTAAGTCTTTACTAATGTTTAATTAATTATGATGGGATAAAAATGTAAACCAATCTATTAGTATCTAAAAGCTCAACTTTTACTTAAACATTTCACCAGAAATTTCAGTGTATGCATAGCATAACATGGAGTTTTTATCCTCCCCCTTTTTGAAACACAAAGCATTCTTCATAAATTGAGATTTCTGTGACATAAATCTGCATGTGGCTAATAATACTATTCATAAATAAGAAGTATGGCTACTTTGACAGATCATGGCTCAGTAACAAACACGCAGGTCTAAGTTATCACATAGTTTGGATGTGAATTCAACAGCAGGATAATGACAGTTGCCAAGGATTTGTACTTGCTGTCACTTCATACTAGTGTTGCCTGTCAAAATGTCTCTTTTTCTTATACAGAAGCCATAGAATTTTTATGGATAGCAATTACTTACAATATACAATGAAGTACATCAAATCTAACAACCACTCTTTAGCCTTTCATTATTTGGTAGACTCTTTGTTAAATGTAGTCAACCATTTTCATCTAAAATTATTTATTTATACTGTATATTTGACAAGCATATATTTCTTGCTTTATATTCTAATAGCATTTGAACCTTCCTAAAGAGTTATGTGGCTTTTTTAATATTATCATTTGTAAAACTTATCTTTATCCTATTACATTTTAATGGTAATTAAACTTTCTAATTGGAATATGTACAAATAAGAAAATAGAAACACAAAGGAAAATGGCCAGAAGTATTTTCAATAATGTCACAAGTTTGAAATAATGAAATGCAACCAATAAAAGAAATAATCTCACGTTTGATGAATGCAATCTTTTTCAATATCTCTGGAGTACACAAAGCACAAAGACTTCATTAAACTTCATACTGCCCTTTCCTCAACTTGTTTAAACAAATAACTTCCAAAGATATAAATAACTTTCTACAATTTCTCTGATAAAATGTGATTTAAACACCATAGAGAGTAAATAAGTGATAATGAAATTGAGCAATTCTCCACAAATTTTATTTCTAGCATCAAAGAAAATATAATTTTAGTTTAGCCTAGAAATGTTGGTAAAGGTTTTCCAATTGCAGAGCCATCTCAGGTTATTTAAACACATAATATGTCAAATTTTTACTTGCAACTCAATGTCTGGATAACAACGAATGTATTACATTCAAAATACAACCCATATCCCCCCACCACAACACGCACACACACTCCAGATAGAAGGCAGCCAAAAATGCTTGTTAAATTAAACTGGCTTGCTTTTGCAGAAAAAGAAAATACTAAACAAGAAAAACAATTCCAAAGATTCTTAAAGACCCATGTGAGTATATGATCAGGGGAATAAACCATTCTGCCTAAAGGAATAAAAGAATATTTTTGCATGTGCAAAAGTAAAAAACTAAAAATAAGCTACATCTTAAATCTAAAACTGGGAGAGGATATATTTATATCTTAAATATAAAACTATTATAATGTCTATAATATAATAGATATTATATATAACATTTTCCAGCAGAAACTTAAATTTTCCAAAAGGAATAATGATCTAGTCTCATTATTATTTAAGGGAAACAACATGCTACTGTTTAATTTTATAGAGACTTTTTTAAGTCTTGATGGAAAAAATCAGAAAAAAATATATGAATTAAAGAAAGTGTATGATTTGGAAACAGTGAAGATACAGCATTGCTTCATTCACTCTTGTCTCCCCTTACTCCCTTCTGCCACCATTCCATGATGAGAATCAACAGTTCACCTTTGAAATGATGAAATCAATAAATTTATACTGTCCCTAGAAAAGGCCATGTTTCCAAATGTTTATATTTGATAAAAAGTCAAATACTCAATCCAATTGAAATACCCAAGATGAGTAAAATGACATGAAATGGGACCGAATAGAGGAGGTGTCATTAATATCACTGAAATCAAGCTCATCTGTAAAAACTCAGCCCTGATAATCTGCAACAAAAAGTTGCTGGTAGTCACTTTATAACTGATTTAAGTCCTCATTTAATGTACTAAAAGGAATTTCCTCCTCAGGGAAATGTAAGAGTTGGTAATATACTAAGCTGCCAGTAGAATAAGATATACTATAACATTCCATTATAAAAATCATGAAATTACATTTCTTATATGATTGTCAGCTAAAAATCACTAAAAGTATTTTATATGTGGAATAGAAAGATATGTTATTATAATATTTTCTTAACTCTAAAATCAAATTGTCATTTGGAAATCTTCTACTACAGCATTTAAAGATATATTGTATGAATATTTTGGAACCTGTTATGAATAAATACTTGATTTTGCCATACACGTCTCAAAGATTTATTCCCTATTCTGGACCACCTCAGAATACATATTTTCCTATTGTTTCCTATTGTTCATCTTTCTTGGAAGTGGCTACACTTTAGTAGTCATCTGACCTCTAAAGGGTAAGTCTTAAAATGAGAGGATCAGACCACATTTACACTTTTGGTGTTAGTTTTCTTTGGCAGTGGGATTCTGGCACAACAGTTTTCACTCTATTACAATCAAATGTAGATGGAATGACAGCAGAAGAAAAATACTGAAAGAACATGAGAAAGGTAAAAAAAAAGGGGGGTTTTCACAAAAAAATATAATCAAAGGTAAATTAATAGTATCAGATAATAACATGAAAATACTGGTCACTGTATGACTCTTATAAGTAAATTTAATACAAATGCTCATTTTTAATAAGCAGAATGTGTTAATTAGTGAAGAAAAGCAGAGCTTCTATGATACCAGTAAAGGAAAAACACATTAACTATTTGAATAATTATTTCTCATAAAGAACATAAAGATGGTAGACAAAATGTGGCAAGGAAAACAAAAATGTTTTAACCTCAATCAAGAGAAAAATGCCTTTACTCAGAGAAAATTACCTTTCTCTGATAATCATATCAGTACCAATAGAGCTTTCATTGCCATTAGCCTTTATGAACTTGACTTCTTTCAAGATGAAGATTATCATTTTCTTTCCCAAGAAGGTAAAAGATCTTGGAGTATTATCTTCAACATTCTGTTCTAGGTGTATCATAATCAAAGTTGATGGTAACAGGAAATAGTTACAGAAAAGAAATTAGAATTCAAACAAATAAATAAAATAATCATGTTTAAATAACAAACTATTAAAAACAGAAGCAGGAAAATATCACATGAAAAGACTGATATATAATAAAAAGGACAAGGACACAAATTCTGAGTTAGACTGAGAATAAAAAAATAAAAGAAAGAAAAGGAGAAAGAAATAGAATAAATGAAAGTACATTTAGCTCTCACAGAAAAAAAATAATAAAGTTATTAAAAATGAACAAACAAGAGATGGGATGAAAAGTAAATGATAATCATTTTAAATTGAAAGTTGGAAAAATAAATTACAAAAGCAATAAAAAATCTGAGCAAAGAAACACTATATTAGGATTGAAATTTATATAAAGAAATATTTAAAATCTTATTTAGAGAAAAATTTTTCATTGTTTTATTGGAAGGAATATTTTCATGAGTAATTTAGTATCTACAATACAATATATAAGACAGTGCAGTTAGAGCCAATTGGGTTCAAATCATACCTTTTCCACTTATTAGTGTGAGTATAGTTAACTCTCTATGTCTTTATCTTTTCATTGATAAAACAGAGATGTTTAGAATACTACCTGCCTATTTTCCTCTTAGGATTGTTTTGAGAACAAAATTGAAAAAATGCAGGTGAAGAGCTAAGCAGTGGGGATTGATACATAACAAATATTAGCTGCCATTATTGATATAATTATTATTATATGTTCAAATCAGATTCCACAAATAATTCATGTTTATTGATCATTTATCTTTTTTCTTCCCATCAAGTAGAAGAAATTGGGGACTGTAACCTAGACAACAATCTCCATAGCTCATCCCATCTCCAAGTTACCATTTATATCACTTTAACCAAATACCAAATAAATATTTACATAGATAACTTTTTATAAGCACACTTAAGTTCTTTAAAATTCAGTTTAAGTTGATAAAATCATATTCTTACCCTGGTATGTCATTCAAAATATATGTGTAAATTGGCTCCACAGTATTCCCATGCAAGGTGTCTACAGGATTGCTTTGTTGTGATTCCTCCATCACTTTAGTCAAGGGAGATAAAGGAGAGTGAGACAGTGCTTCTCAGTGATCATCTGCTTCTATTCTTGCCATCTGCAGCTAAGAATTATGAAGAATGATAGTTTAAAATGTAAAATCCTCTTGGATTTCAAATTGAGGGTAAACATTAGTATCAATCTACTTGTCATCATGTTCTAGACTGTATAGCAATCATTAAGTGTAAAATTACACTAGAAATTAACAGTGATAAGAACTTAAAGAAAAATATGAATATAAGTGTATTAATGGTATAATCCCATTTAAGAAATAAAAATTGCTGGGCTGGGTACATAGCTCAGTTAGTAGAGTGCTTGCCTCACATGCATAAGACCTTGGGTTTAATCCCTAACACCACAAAAAATATGCTAATTTCTTGTAAAGTCTTTTAGCTTTGGCTGGTTTTAAAAATACTGCTTATATAAGCAATTTTATATGAGAAATATGTTACTAAAAAACCCAACACAATAAAATTTATTTATTTTGCACTTCCTCCTGATTCTGATATGATTCTCAATTTATGCAGCTGGCTTCCATGCCAAGAAATAAGTATCTACAAAGATGGCCAAAGTGCCCCATTGCCCAGACACAAAGATTGGTAAATCAAAGTCCTGATGAGGAAAAAAATGATTGTCAACTTCGAGAACAATATAAACCTCCACCACTGAGAATGAAACCAAAACAGATGAGAGCAAAAGTGGAAGAAGGACAGAGAAAGCCAGAGAGAGTCCTGATGACAACATTTGAGTCCCCAAAACCACAAAGCAACCCATATCTCCTGAGTTTCCTACAGTTTCTTACTTCTTTCTTTTTGCTTGAATTAAATTGAGTTGGAAATTTTATATTTGTAGCCTAGAAATCTCTTACATAATATACACAAACTCTAGTATCTTAAGACCAAAACAATATGCTCTTAAGAAATAATATCCCAGAATATTATCTATCAGTCCCTTTCCAGGACTGCTTGGTTAAATTCCCTGCCTCTTTCAAGTTTTTTCCTAGGTGCTACCACCTCAATGATACCTAATGCTGACAACCTTATTTAAAGCTGGTGTTTCCTTTACTATGTAATCATGCACTAACAATACTGATTCAAAAACTACAAAATCTTATCTCTGATGTAGTTCATTAAGGCAATGAGGAGGTGTTCCAATATAAAATGACATACCAGAACTAAGGAAAAGATATTACTTTTAAGGTAATAACAATATTACTTTTACCTTTTTTACTGCTGTTCTAAAATAAAAGCATTCATTCATGTTCTGATTATTTATTGAGGATCTATAATATATCTGGCATTTTTCTAAGTACTTAGAATTCTTCAATAAACAAGCAGGGAGAAAAAAATGTGCTCTGTGCAGCTTACACTCTAGTGGGAGCAGATAACAAATAATAAACACAACAAATAAATAAACTATATAGACATCAGAAGATAGAAAATGATACTGGAAAATTGATGAAGGTAAAGTTATATTGGGAGTGTGAGAGTAAAGGAAACACCAACTTTAAATAAGGTTGTCAGCATAGGTATCATTGAGGTGGTAGCACCTAGGTAAAGACTTGAAAGAGGGAGGGAATTTAACCAAGCAGACAACAAAGGAAGAGTGAGAAGGCCCTAGTTGGAATATAACTGACATGTGTAAAGAAAAGTAGATAAATGGATGATCAAACGGGAATGTAGTTGAGAAAAGTTAGAAAGGTGTTGGAGAATATGGAAATAATATAGGCTATTGCAGGATTTCATTGGGACTTTGAGAAAATTAGAAAACCCATAAATATTGTTTATAAAATAATTTTGGCTGCTTTTAAAATACTGCATCAAATATATCAAATAACTACATTGTAATGTCTTGGCACATCTATATATTAATATTTTATTATACTTGTCTAAATTCTTTGTGACAAAGACTGTCAATTGTCTGACAATATTCATTTCTTCCTTCTTCTACGATAGTAGTATCCTTAACTTTTAACCGAAGCATAGAGCTGCCTAAAATAAAAACTAGCAGAATGGCAGTTATTAAGAACACAAACAATACAAAATACTGGAGAGGATGTGAAGAAAAAGCAACATTTTTACACTGCTAGTGAGATTGTAGATGAATACTACCACTATGGAAATCAGTATGGAGGTTCCTCAAAAGACTAAGAATGGAACAAGCATATGACCCAGCTATACCACTCCTTGGTATTTACCATAAGGAATTAATGTCATCATACTATTGTGATACGAACATACCCATGTTTATAGCAGCATAATTTACAATAGCCAAACTAAAAACCATCAATGGGAAAATGGACAAAGAAAATGTCCGTAAAGAAAAATGAAATTGTGTCATTTGTAGGAAAACTGATGTAACTTGAGAATATTATGTTAAGCAAAATAAGCCAAACTTATATAGAGAGGAAAAAGGGAAAGAAAGATGGGGGAGGGTTAATTTTCCGTGTTTCTTATGGCTGTGTAGGGATACATGAACATGTTTTAACCAATGACAAATTAGTGAAAATGAGCAGCATGAGTGAGTTTGCACTAGGTTTTCCTTTTCTTTGCAAACGAGAATGAAGACATAATGGCTGTCTCTGGATTGGTCACCTTTAATTTTAATATGATGCTAGGGAAGAAGGACATGCTCAAGGACAGAAGGGGTTTAAATCTCAGACAATCATTGAGTACCACACCAACCCTGGACAACTTACCTTCAGACTTTTTAAAAACATTTTTTTAGTTGTTGATGGACCCTTATTTTAATCATATATTTATATGCAGTGTTGAGAATCAAACCCAGTGCCTCACACATGCGAGGCAAGCATTCTACCACTGAGCCACAACCACAGCCCACCTTCAGACTTTAAAATAAGAAATAAACCTGTACCTTTTCAAAAGAGTATTAATTTGGGTCTTTGTTACATACAGTTGAACCTAATCCTGAAATTAAATATAAATTTAACTCAGAGTTCAGTAAATTGGGGCTTTGGGCCTTGTAGATTTGAAGGATATTGCTATATTCAAAACTGAACAATTTAAAGTAGCACTCTAAAGCAGCATCTTTGGAGATAAGATTATGGCTCCAGCCTTTTAAAATTATTTTCCTCTAAGAATTCTTTGTTACTCAATTAAAAAAAAAACCCAGCTGAAGCAGATCACTTTAAGGTTTGTTGTATTTGGAAGTTTTCCATTCATGACTAAAAGCAAAGATATTTTGGTGGTTAAAGGGTAGGATTGTGGAAGAAACTGTTAGATATTCTTTAAAATCTGTTTTCCTCTTTATAAATTATAGACTTAGAATATGCAGCTAAAGCCCTGTTGCCTTTTTGGTATAGTAACATCACCATATGACCAAGTTCTGGTCAGCTGAAGGTAAGCAGAAGAGGTACATGTGACTTCTAGGATTGGTCACTTTTATCCTTCCTTGTGCCTGAAATGTGGTCATAGCTAAAAACTAGAACAGCCATGTAGGATCTGGAATGGATCTTCTGTGACTTTGGGAATAGAAGGTACTCATAGCAGAATAAGATGAAAGCATCTTAAAGCAGCACGCAGCCTTCCAGACTTTTATATGAGCTAGAAATAGTCTTTTTCCTTACCATTCTTCAATATGAATTTTTCTTAACCTCCTGTATATCCTGTTTATCCCCTCCCAGTCACCACACCTTTGTTCATGCTATTCTTACACTGTGAAAGATTTAGAAGACTAGAAAGCAACTTGTTATAATGAAATGGACTTCTTTGTTCCATTTTCCAAAGTTCATGTTTTACTTGGTTGATTATTTAAAATTAAGAAAAAAATTTTCCTATGTGTTCTGATCAGATTTGTGACATCCCCGCCACCCCTCCCCCCAATTTTCAAGAATACAAGTAATGCTAAATGTTGGTGAGGATGTGGGGGAAATGGTACACTCATATATTGTTGGTGGGACTGGAAATTGGTGCAACCACTCTGGAAAGCAGAATGGATATTCCTCAAAAAACTAGGAATGGAACACCATTTGACCCAGTTATCTCACTCCTCTGTATATATCCAAAGGATTTAAAATCAGCATACTAAAGTGACACAGTCACATCAATGTTTATAGCACTAAATTCACAATAGCTAAGCTATGGAGCCAATCTAAATGCCCTTCAACAGATGAATGGATAAAGAAATTGCAGTAGATATACACAATGGAGTATTACTCAGCCACAAAGAAGAATAACTTCACGACTTTTCCTGGTAAACAGATGGATCTGGACAGTATCGTGCTAAATGAAATAAGCCAATCCCCAAACAACCAAAGGTTGAATGTCCTTTCTGATATATGGAAGCTAACCCACAATAAGGGAGGGGGAGATGGAAGTTCAGAGGAGTAGACAAAAAGTAATGATAGGAAGGGAGGTGGATAAGAAAAGGAAAGACAGTGGAATGAATCTGACATAACTTTCCTTTGTTCATATGTGAATATTTCATAGTGAATTTCACCATAATTTATGTCCACAAGAAATTAATTTTTTAAAAAAATCTGTGGGTAAATGGCAGAAAGCTAAGAGAGGGAATGGAGCAGGAGTGAGAAGGGGAAGGAAAAGAAGGGTTATTGGGGACTGAATTAGAACAAGATATATTCCATGCTTTTATAAGTATGTCAAAATGGATTCCAATTATAACTAAAAAGAAGCAATTTAAAAAAAAATGTTTATGAACCCTGAAATTCATCTGTCAAACTAATCCTCAATGTAATAGTATTAAGTCAGGGCCTTTGGGGAGAAATTATTAAATCATGAGAATAGGCCCCTCATGAAAGGGATTAGCACTCTTATCAAAGAGACTCCAGAGAGCTAGCTAGCTCCTTTTCACAATGGAAGGAAACACTGAGAAAGTATCATCTATGAGGAAGAAGGCCCTCACCAGACACTGCTAGTGCCTTGTTTTAGACTTCCCAGCTTCCAGAATTATAAGAAATAAGTTTCTACTCCTTACAAAAGTTACCCATTTAAGGCATTTTGTTATAGCAGCCCTAATAGACTAAGATACTATGGAAACACTGATCAGTTTTCCTGCCTCATCATAAATTCAACAATATATGAAGTA